GGGAAGGGATTTGTCTGGCTGGGGCGGGGCGGGGCTGTGCTCGAGGACACGGGAAACAGAGGCCAATGTGGACACCTGGGCTGGGCGGGGAAGCCAGGCAGAGCGGGCCCAACTGGACTTCCTGGGGGCACAGCCAGCATCCCCCTTCCCTGAATCCCCGCCAGGTCCCAAGGCCCCACAGGAGCACAGGGACAACATCTGCCCTACCTACAGTCCTGGGGGACCAGCTGGGCTGGGGGGCGGCCCAAGGAGCCTGGGACAACTGTGCCATCGGCTGAGGAGCCACGTTCAGGAGCTGACGGGAGTTCGCTTAATCCACACTGTGGGGCTTCCAGCTCTCTCCCCATTTCTCAGACAGAAACACTGAGGCTTGGGGAGGACACAGAGCACTGCAGGGTGAGGCTTACGCCTAGCCCAGCTTGTGATGTCTGGGCCACACCATCCGCCCTGGCTCTGCCTGCTCTGAAGGCCCATCTCCGCCAAAACCGTCCCCGCCTTCTTCCCAGCAGCTCCTCCCCTAGGAGGGGAGTCCAGACAGAGCCGCTGAGGAGGGACCTGGCTGCCTCCCCTGGTCTCCCCAGGCCTCAGCCTCCTATCTGCCCACAGGGTCCTGGAGGTGGGCCTGCCGAGGGCAGTGGGCAGAAGCTCTGGACACCAGGTCAGTGGTTCTGGGCTAATGGGGTGACCCAGCAGCCCTGGGGCCTCCGCCAGGGAGCAGAGGGGATGGAGAGGGGCTCGGGCACAGAGCCAATCCTCCACTGCCTCAGACCAACTTCTGCCCGGAGCTTCTCCAAAGAGAAAGCTGGGCTGTCACAACCAAAACGTGGACAACTTGAATTTTTTTTTTTAATAGATATCTAAAGAGAGGCATCTTTTATTTATTTATTTATTTTTGCTGTGTTGGGTCTTCGTTTCTGTGCGAGGGCTTTCTCTAGTTGCGGCAAGTGGGGGCCACTCTTCATCGCGGTGCGCGGGCCTCTCACTGTCCCAGCCTCTCTTGTTGCGGAGCACAGGCTCCAGATATGCAGGCTCAGTAGTGTGGCTCACGGGCCTAGTTGCTTCACGGCATGTGGGATCTTCCCAGACCAGGGCTCGAACCCGTGTACCCTGCATTGGCAGGCGGATGGATTCTCAACTACTGCGCCACCAGGGAAGCCTGACAACTTGAATTTAAATTGCTAACTGAATCAAGCATTTAATGGAAATTCCAAGTCTGATATATTCGGCTATTATAACTGCTGTATCTTGAAGAGGAGACACAATACATCCTTTGATTGTGGGGAGCTTGCCCTGGCGAGGCCCCGTTAACAAAGGTGCAGGAGTCCCCAGCTTGGCCGTCATTGCTCATGGCTCTGGCCCTGCCCCCGTGTCTTCCCAGAGCTTCCTTTGCTCATCTTACCCACCAAGCCCGTCTCAGGGCTGGGGCCTGAGCACGGAGACTGACCCTCCCAGAAGGGTCCCCGCTGAGTGAACTGTTATGGCAGACTCTTCCTGTCCCCAACGTCCAGGGCATCGTCCTGGCCATCGGACCTTCCTCCAGGGGCATCATTTGAGGGTGTCACTTTCAGGAAATAATCCCGCAAGAGCAGACTGAAACATTTTGATCTTCATTGTGCAGTGCCTGAGGCTCCACATGGACCTCGTCCAAGCCAAGTAAGGCTGAGGAACACCTGAGTTACTGAGGTGGGAGTCCTCAACATTGATGACTTGTTACAGGGGTCACTGTAGGGGATGCACATGCACGCGCATGCGTATCTGTTTATGTGTTCTGCACGTGCCTGTATGTGCACTCTGGCTCATGGTGTGTGCACGTGTATGTGTGTATGGTGTGCTACACAAGAGTGTGTGCATGCGCGTCTGTGGGTACGTTCACATATGTGTGTGGTGTGTGCATGCATGTATACTCGTGCCCTTGCTCACAGTTGTGTGTGTACCCAGTCAGTGTCCCCTGCCAGCCAGAGGAACCTGAGAAGAGTGTCTGCAGGTGTCCAGCTTCTGGCCTCTCACCCTCAGCCAACACACCCAGGGGCTTTGAGGGCCTATCCCTTTCCCTGGAGAGTGTGGCTCCCTCTGTCCTGACCACAGAGTGGAAGCTGTGGGCGGCCTAAATCTAGGTCACCTGGGTCTCTGAGCCCCACCTCTGCCTGACAGCACCTGGGGTGGAGGGGCCAGTGTGGCCAGTAGATGGACAGACAGATGGACAGCCGGCTCCCCATGTGGCTGGGTCCTCCCACCAAGTGGGCAGCTAAATCAACAGGCTGAGAAATTGGAGAGGGGCCCAGGGCCAGGCTGTGTGTTGGGCCGTCTGTTTGTTTGTTCTAGAGCTGTGGGAACTTCCAGCCTGCAGGGGGCCCTGGTGCCCTGCGGGGGGCAGGGGGTGCTATCACCCAGGCCCAACGGACAGCCCCATCCGGTCTGGCCATCCCCTCACTGTCTCCGCCCATCTGTCCTCCTGGGCACTGGGCCCAGAAGACAGCACCCTCAGTGAGGGGAGTACAGCCAGGCCTGGGGCGGATGGGAGGCTGCACCCAGCTGTGCATGGCTGTGCTGACCCTGGCCCATCCCTCCTGGCTCTGAGGGGCTGGTGTCACAGCAGTGTGTGCCTCTGTGCTGCTTTGTCTGTCACCCCTCAGGTGACACCCTCCAGTGTCCGTGTCTGCCCCCTCAGTTGCCCTTTGTTCAATCTGCAGTCATTGGCCCCCCGGGGTCCAGGCCTTTGGATCAGGAGGCAGGTGGCACTGGGGACTTGGAAGAGTCCCAGGTGATGCCACAGAAGGGGCAAGGGCACCAGCCCCTTCCCTGGGCATGGCTCAGCTCACCCACCCAGAGTGATCTCCAAGCCACGAAAGAGCACATGCCAGGCTGTTTCTGGTCCCCAGCCTTTGCCAAGAACTCCATGGGTTCTGCCTGGCACCTCCTCACAGTCCTCAGTCCCCCACATATGAACCCTACTATTCACCTGGGGCTCAGGGCCCAGCACAGGGTCCCCCACCAGAGTTTGGGGTAAGAGCCCACCACCAAGGAAGAGGCCTGGGTGGGCTCGCAGGGACTTGTGCTTCAGTTGGGGGCACCCCGAGGGAAGGGCCTGGAAGCAGTTAGGGGGCCAACAGAGCCACTGCTAGTCCAGGTGCATGGAACCCCCAGGCTGGGGAGAGGGAGTCGCCTCCTTCAACATGCAGGCGGTGTCACAAGAGACCAGGCCAGTGGGGTAGGGGCAGGAAAACTGCCCCTACCCGGGATGGATGCGGCCTCACTACCAGCTCCCACAGGCCCTGGTCCCAGCCCAGCACCGCACCCCCAGCCCCCGCACCGCCCAAGGGTCTGCAAACCCACGGTAGATCGCGCAGACCGCGCTGGAGCCAGTGGGGCCACGAGCTTGGCGCGCAAGAGCCACCGGCGCGGACAGCGCCCGTTCCTCCCCGCCTCATGGGTGGAGCCCATGAGTCCTCTTCGGCTCCCCAGCCAGGGGCCAGGGGAGGGAGGCCACCCCACAACGGCCCCACCCGTCCACCTCGGGGGCTCAGGGTCGCTGCCCATTCACGCCCAAGCGGGCCACCCAGAAAGCCCCGTTCGTCGGCATTGCGGGCCGAGCGCTTTTTTTGGATGGAGGCAGATGAGACGCACCCAGGGGCCGAGGTCCTGTGCAAGGCGCCCACTGTGGGCGGGGAGCGGAGAGGAGGAATGGAGCTGCGAAGGGAGAACGGAGCTGCCCTGCGCACCCGCCTCTCCCGGCTCCACCGAAGTTCACCCCCTCACGCCTTCCGCCAAGGCCTGGCCCCCGGAGTCCCAGCCGCCCGGGCCGCGGGGCTGGGGAGGAGCGGCTGCTGGCGGCAGAAAGGCAGGGCGCAGGCCGCTCCCGGTGCGGGGCCTGCCTGCGAGAGCACCGAGGCCCGTCTAGGCAGGCCCTGGAGGCAGTTCCCGGTGAATCAATCCTGAAACGAATGAACCGGGTCAAGAAAAGCCCAGCCCCTCTCTTTCTGAACCCCGGGTGGGGGAGATGGCTCTGCCCCGCTCGGTGCTCTAGTTCCTGGGGGACGGGGTCCCCAGTGCTCCACGCACTCACATCCTCCAGCTGCCTGCTCAGATCCATCTGTGTGCGCCTGTGCCCCAGATAGACGGGAGACCCAGGCTGGGAGAGCGGGTGGTGCCCCACCTTGTCTCGCGGACCACCTGAGCATAACAGTCGGTGGGCTTGGCGCCCACCAGAGATGCACAACGGCGCGAATGTCCTTCCAAGGGTGGGAACAGAGAGGCCCAGAGCGAATTCTGAGCGCTGGGCATAGCGCTGTCGAAGTGCCTTTATGGTGGCGGGAGAGTGCGGAGTGGGGTCCCCCCCAAAGCTGTGAGGGCTCCAGTCTTGAGGGCTGCCCTAAGGAAGCCACGTGCGCTCCGGGGAGGCGGAGCTGGGTGCAGCAGTGCAGCCAGATTCTCCAGGGACCTCCTTCTGCGCACTGGGGAGAAAACCTCTGAAACAGCGTTTGCTTCGGGCAGAACTCTGAAGATGCTGGGGCGGGGGATGAGTGAGCCTCAAAACGCAAGGTGCCAGGTGAAGCGCTGGGATGCATCCCGGTGCCCACGTGGGACCCAGCGCAGGGCCCGCAGAGAGAATCAAAGGCTGCAGCCCGGTCTGCACCCAGGATGGGCGGCTGCCTCGGCTCCATCCCGCCCCTGCCGCCTCCTGTCCTCAGCTATACTTCTGGTCCCCGTACCTCGCAGAGGCCGGTCAAAGCCGAGCCTCGGTTTTAGGGCCTGTAAAGTGGTCTCATCCTAGTCCCCCCTTCGCTGCCAAGTGGCACAGCGAAATGCGGGTCTTGTTTTCAGCCCACATCCCAGGTGGAGGGGCACCCCGTGCCCTAAGGAGGCAGAGCCCGAGCGGCGCACGACCCCCGGCAGCGCCCAGCCCTTCCAGCCCGGTCGGGCCGGCGCCCAGCCAGGCCTCCTACCTCGCGCTCCCGGAGGTGCGGCCGGCAGGGGGAGCGAGGCGGAAGGGAGCCGCAGCCGCTCCAGGTGAGGGATGAGGACTTCCCGCAGGCGGCGGCACGCACGGACACGGTGTGCGGGGCGTCGCGGGACCAGAGGGCGCGAGCTCTGTCTGGGCGGTGGGGGCACTGTGGGTGGGGCAGCGGCGGGCGGTGAGGAGAGCGGCGGATCGCCCCGGGAGGGACGGAGGAGGGTCCGAGGAGCTCACCCCGGAGGTGCGGGAGGCGGTGACTCCGCAGCGTTCAGGCCTCTTTGGGCCCCTGCAGTTGGATTCCAGCAGGGACCGGGCGTTGACAGAGGGGTTCGGGGTCTGCAATTGCTCGGGTGAGTAGCTGCAGCCAGGGAAGCAGGGTTGCCAGTCCCAGGTGGAGCGGCGTGGGGGGGCCCTGACCTCCTCTAGAGCTCTCTCGACCAGAATTGGCCCATGCCACAGCGTCCTTTCTGCTCCCGCGCTTTTCCCCACCTAGCGTGGCCTCCCAGATCCCAGCTCAGGCATGAAGGGGTTAATGAGGGGCTGGGAGGACCCTATCTCCTGTCTACCACCTCAGACTCCGAGGGCCAGGGACCTCAGGACAGTGTCCCAGGAGGCTGACCCTGCGACTCCAGAAGCCCCAGGGTTTTTCAATTTCATTTCTCCTTTCTCAACATTGGTGTCTGCCTCAGACTGAGCACCTGCCCACTGTCTTCAGGTGTTCGCCCAGATATACAAGGAAGGCTCCCCAGGTGCACAGGACACAACCACGGGCACCCCCACATGCCAGGACAGCACACGTCCCAGATGGCATACAACCACACGCACCCCATGCACCCACCTGCAGGTTGGATGCAGACCACCAGCAAGAGGTACCCATGGTGACCACCCTGCATGCCTCTCTAGGTGCAGACCCTCAGCACCGGCTCCCCTCCTGCAGCACCACCACGACCTGCCCCCACCAACTCCCCTGCCAGCCGGGTTCTCCCTCCACCAGGAGCATCTCCACCTGGGGTCCTGGAGGCCTGGCGCATCACACCACTCCCTGGACCTGCTCTTGGGCCCCACAGATCACTGTCACTGTCACAGCCCCACATAGCCACTCAGGGTGGGGGGCACACCCTGGCAACAGTTTCCCTTTTCTGGCATGGTCCACAAAGCTGCAGCCACAGCCTAGGGGGTGGGGCGGGGCTCAGTGTACTTGAGGTCACATGCACCCACCCCAGTCACACAGCAGGGCCCACATGCTCACCGACTTGACTCCAGCCTTGTATCTTTCCTGGACCTCAGGCCCGGGAGCCAGGCGTTTCCCGCTGGAGCCCACTCCCAGGTCCCCAGTTTCTGGGCCTTCCTGCCTCAGAGCCAGCATCCCCTCCAGCCTGGGATCTGAGGCCCTGGGACTGTAAAAACCCTGAGAGAGACTGCTGCTTCCCACCCCCATCCAGGCAAACGCAGGCAAAGCAACAGAGGCCTTGGAAATGGAGGCCTGACTGCCAGAGCCTCAGTGCAGGGCCAGAGAGGATCCTGGGAGCAGGGAGGCCTGGCACCCTGCTGGGGAGACCCTGGACTGGAAGGCCATGGATGCCCTGAACTGGGCAGAGAGGCCTCAGAGGCAGTAGGTGCGCGGAAGCGCAGGCCAAGTCAGGTCTTAGCGTCTGGGATGCCTGGGCCTGAAGGCCCAGCTGGGCAGCAGGGCCTTCCCAGGCGGGCAGGCTGGCTGTGGGGTGGGTGGTGAGCGAGGGGCAGCATACGACCCAGCCGGCAGCCTGAATTCCTCCGACGTGTCCTCGGCTCCCTCGGCCAGTCCAGGCCCCGCCCCCGGCCCTCCCTGCACCCGGCCGGTGCGCGGGGAGGTCGGAGGAGCGGGCACTGCCCACCCTCCGGATGTATAAGCGTCCTGGCCAGAGGCGGGCGGTGCGCGCGGGTGCGCGTGACGCTCGGGCTCCAGGGCTGCTTGGCCTGGGCGGCGTCCCTCTGCTCAGGGTCCCCAGCCACGACAGTGAGGCGACCGAAGAGGGCTGGGGGCCGCTTGCTGGGCTGGGTCCTGTCCCTGAGCACGGAGGAAAGGACGACGCCGTGGCCCTGGGGCTGTCCGCCTGTGGCCAGTGCTGGAGCCCGGACTGCCCTCTCCTCACCCAGGTGCAGGGGCAGCCGAGGAAGAGGAGGCGGGAGGAGCCGAGGGCAGGGGCAGGGCCGGTGCCCCACTGCTTCGGGCTGGGGCTGGGCGCTCCCAGCTTCCCCACCTCCCCTCGGGGGCTGGGGAAGCTGATGGCTTCGCTGTACAGAGGGAACCCAGGCCTTGGGGAGCAGTGAGATGTCCAAGGGGTGCTGGTCGTGGAGGCCCCTGGGAGCAGAGGCAAGGGGCCCGGACCTTGAAAAGCAGGAGGGCCCACACCCCCAGGGCTCTCAACCCATCAGGGCCCCTCGGCTGCCACCGGCCCAGAGTGGGGGCCGTGACACCATAATCCCCTGGGCCCAGGGCCGGCGGCTGTGAGTGGCACCGCAGGCCCCCGCCCCCGGGGCCCGAGGGCTGGGCCGGCCTCGGTGGGGCCGGGTGCACGCAGTCGGAGGCGGCGCCGGTCAGGCCGCCGGGCGCCTATGGACGCACGGAGCCGGCTGTCTCCCCGGGCCAGCGCGTTCAGCATTGCCTCTCTGGTTGCAGCAGAGGCCGCAGAGCACACCGCTCGCCTGGGACCCGGGTTCTCCGACCCGGCGAAGCTTCGCAGGCTGCTGGGATTCCTGGCCGGGATGCACTTCAGCACCGTCACCAGGGACATGGAAGGTGAGCCTCCTGCTACGTCTACATGGACCCGCCCGCCAGATCCCCTGCCCCTGCTGCCGTGGGGCCCAAGCAAAGAGGGTTGGCAGGATCCGGGCAAAGAGCGGGTGGAGGGAGCTCTGGCGGGGTGAGTTCCAGGCTTCTAGCTCGGACTCTAGGGTGGAGAGGAAGGGGGGCATCCTGCCCAAATTCTGTGCCCCCGTCCAGCCTGGGGACCCCGCTGCAGAGACCCGCACGCAGCTAGACACAGGAGCAGAAGAGGGCGAGGGGAGGCTGGGAGGACAGGAAAGAAGGACCAGAGAAAGGCGGTGGCAGAGGGGCCGTGAGCTCAGAGGGGCGGGAGGAAAGGAGAGGAGGGTGAGATTGTCAGGGGACGCGGAAAAGGCGGGGGGCAGAGGGAGAAAAACATTGAGAAAAGGAGAGAAAACAGAAAACCCAAAAGAAGAAAGATGAAAAGGAAATGAAGAGGGCAAGAATGAAAGAGAAGAAAGTGGAGGAAAATTTACGAAAGAAAGTTGAGTCATAAAAAAAGAAAAAGAGAAAGAGTTCAGTTTTTATTAAAAAAAAAAAGAGTTAAAAGCCATGAATAACAGAGAGACGCACGCAGAAAGGAGGGGGACAGGCAGACTGAAAAGAAAGACAAAGCGCTGAGGGGCTAGCAGGAAAAAGAGGAAGAGGCAGAAAATAAAGCAGAAATAAGAAGACTCGAGAGAGATAGTGGAAGGAGGAAAGAGGATGCGGAGGGGAGACTTGAACGAGGAAGACAAAGGTAAGGAAATAACAAATTGCAAAGAGCCCGGAGAGAGAAGTGCAACGCGGGAGGGCGGCAGAGCGAGGGGCGGCCGGCGGG